TTTTTTTCCTCCTTTTTGTTTTTGGTACTTTCCTTTTGAAAAAAAAAATGGGAAAAGATGTGGTCTAATTGGATTGCTTGATTGGGTTCGGCATTGCTTTGGGTGTACTGGCCAGATTAGGTCGGTGGGCTGGACCAAAGACAAATGATCGAGCGTTGGTATTTTGTATTTCTAGTAAAATATAGGGAAAATGGTAATAAAAGACCCATCAGTTATTAAAATTACGAGACGCACACTTGAAGAAGTTAAATTGTATGGAGAGACCAGGTCTTAAATTGCAATTAGCAAATTATACCTAAGACTAAAATACCCCTCAGTTACTCAGATTCAATAATGAAGCTAGAGATTGGCGGGAGAGCTTTTAGAAAAAGAAGATTAGACAATATCTGCATTGCACAAACTTGAGAATCAAGTGAGTAGTGCTTCTAACTAAACTCTTCTTCTTCTCTACCTACAAAGATGAGGAATGTGATTTTGTTCTCAACGTGGTGAGTTGTATTGTGGGTTGCTGGGTTATGGGTATAGAATGAGTGAGAGGTGAAGTTGATGATGGAATATGGTAGTTTGAGGAGCTTTTGATTAGTTGGAGGTTGATATTTCTGATTTTGTAGTTAGATTGTTAAACTCCGATTTTGGTAGGGTTAGTTGCAATGGATAGGGGTGAGGTATGTCACGAATGACAGAGTGTAGGAGGAAAAATGGATGGATGTAATGGTTGTTACTTTGAGTGTGAAGCCTCAAGTGGTGTAGTGGAGGGAGGGAATCAGGATCTTATCATTTTGAATGTTAAAGTTGTAAAACACTAACGTCAAGGTAGAAAGAGAAGAGGTTGTTGGTGTTGATTTCTCTATGTAAATGATTCATTTGATTGAATAAAATTATATTGAAGCTGATTGCAAAATTTGGGTGTTGTCAAAGCACCTATGGTTTTTTTGTTATTTGGCTTACTATTATTGTAATTTTTCATGGTAATGTAATTGAAGATTGATTAGTTTGATCGCAGCAACATGACATGATGATATGAAAATATTGGTATTTTGTTTATGGGTAGAGCAATGTTAACATTCAGTATTTATCAGTTGTAAATAGCATCAATATAAATCCATTTAGTGTTCTGAAATTTATGACGAACCCATTCACAGACTTATGATTTCACTTACCATAGTTGTTATTTGGCTTTTTACTATTGTCAATTGCTTTTGATAACTTGTTATTTGGCTTACTCAACTTGTCATTGGCCAAAAAAATCTAGAAATATTATCATTTGAACACAAAAAAATGAACTTCATATACATTTTTTTCATAACTTATTATTTGACTTACTCAACTTGTCATTTAGCAATAAAATTTGAAAATAATGTCATTTGAACAAAAAAAAATAAATTTCATATAAATTACTTGTCATAACTTATTGTTTGGCTTACTCAACTTGTCATTTGCCAAAGAAATATGAAAATAATGTCATTTGAACACAAAAAATAAACTTCATATAAATTGCTTTTTATAACTTGTTATTTGGCTTACTCAACTTGTCAATCGCGAAAGAAATCTGAAACTAATGTCATTTGAACATAAAAAATAAGCTTCATATAAATTGCTTTTTATAACTTGTTGTTTGGCTGAATCAACTTGTCATTTGCCAATAAAATGTGGAAATAACGTCATTTAAGCACAAAAAATGAACTTCATATAAATTGCTTTTCATAACTTGTTATTTGGCCTAGTCAACTTGTCAATAAATTGGATGAGTGCATAATTAACAACTCAATGTGGACATGTACAAATTATATATTATTTATAATGTTTTCTCAATAGATTGGATACAAGGTTTCACATTGTGATTTTTTTTTGGGGGGAAAATTTATATAATTGTACACGTTATTATATAACATCCTTAAGTTATAAAATTATTAATAAAAAACAATTATGATGAATATTTAATTTGAAAACTGAACAATATATATTGTCAACAACTTGATCCCTCGCTCCTCTAGTTTCTTGCTGATTCCGCATTGTGCTCTTCGATTTTTGACATGATGGTCATGTTCATCATGAGTGGATCAAATTTTTTATCTCTCCTTTCGTCAAATATCTGACGAGAAGACATCTGTTCAAATGTTAATTTTCTTGCAAAATATCCTTTCCATTTTTAGAATTCTATAGCAAAATCCATAATTTCATGTGCATAAACATATAAAAACAAATATAATTAGGAAAAATTGTTCAAAAGTCTCTATTTAAAAGTTTTTTCCCCCTCAAGAAGATTTGAATTGAGACAATGTAACCGTTCTTTAATTGTGTGGAATATATATTCATCTATATTAAAATTCTTCTATTTTACATATAGTTGAATATAAGTTGCACATACAGTTGAAAAAGAGTTATACTTGTTGAAGTAGACACGAGCTCTTAGACAGATTTTAAGTACTTTTGAGCAATAAATATTTCAATAGGAGATTTCTCAAACCTCAAACAAAGAATTAATGGGAAAGAAATCGTTAACATATGTTATATTGTTAATTTTTAAATCACACATATTCCACGATTAAAAGTCTCAATAACCTTTTAATCTTATAAATAACAGCAAAAAGCAGTGTGAAAAAAGACGCAAAGGCAATTGAAGTGGTGTGAGACAAGTGAAGAAAAAAAGGATTATTATCCAAGGAAGAAGTGTGAAGAATTTTTAATTTTTAGCCTGAAATTAAACAAAATATAAAAACCCATAATATAAACATAAGATGCATACAACAAATTTGTGACATGCATCAAAACATATATGATATGTATATTAAAATCAAATAATGTATAGAAATATGTTCAAAAAATTTGGTGGTATCGATGTTATTGTTCAAGATTGTTGGGGGTAATTAATTAATTGTACACACACACACACGATATTGTGCGTGGACATAGTATTGGCCATAAAATAAAGATAGTTTTTGGGCGGGGGGGATTATCCTCATGATGCATGGCACATAGATTAGTCTTTGATCACTCTGTAAGAGTGAAGTGAAAAGTCATTTTCATTTGGTGTGGAAAATGACAGAGAAATGAAAAACATGTGCAAGACATTGATGTGAAAGAATGAAAGTGTGCATTGAATTTTTTTGCCTGGGTAGTTTTGGGACTCACATCGTACACCATTGAGCTAAAAAGACTTCTCAGGTGAGGAACAGAGCCATGAATTTTGAGATATTTAGATATGGTGGGCCCATTACAAAGCAAAGCATGGACTATAGTAATTGAAGGAAAATCTATTTATTCACCTAAATTATGAAGCAATAGTTTTTAATTATAACACTGGTAATCTGAAATAATATTTCGGGATAAGGTGCTTTTAAATATGCTGAAAGTATTAATGAAGGAGCACCTATCACCTGAAAGTTTTTTTAGCTCTTATATGTCCTAATTTTTTTTACCAAAAATATCCTGACCGTTATCCGCCTAACAGTTCTATCATTAGATTATGTGATTTGACTGGTGTTTTTAACAGTCAAACTTAAAGGTGGAGAACAGTTTAGGATATAAATGCTATGGAATAAAATTTTCAAGACATATAAGAGCAAAAAAAATTCTAGGTGTTGGGTGCTCCTTCATGAATATTTCTGGGATATTTAAACCCCTTGTCTCTATTTTTTTTTAATATCAGCCATTGTTATTTTCAAAAGTTAAACTTAACATGTTAGCATTTGATAATAATTTTTTTTCAATATTTAAAATTCAATGTTGATATTTTTTTTGTTTTATAAAACAATGTTACAAGAGTAAAGAACGTTTTGTGTGAAGTTGAACGTGATCAAAATGAAATTTTGTGTGAAGTTGAATGAATATTAAAGATGCACTTCTGCCAACAAATTGTATGTATGCATGTCTGTCTGTCTAAATTAAAACATACCATGCTATAGCTATGAGATATCCATATTCAATTTTTGAAATTATATAACTAAAAGAATATGTTCCTTTATTTTTTAAAGTTATATCTGTCAATGGCTCATTCTGTTAGTAAATTCTTCAACAATTTCTTATTCAACACAAACCTTGATCAAATCATTGATAAACTTATCTTCTACCTTATTGTGAAAATTTCAAACGAAATTTGAAAGAAAAAACTCGTAAGCAAATTTCCTTAGGATTAAAAGAAATTAATTAGAAAAAGCACATCTTTAGATCCTAAATATGCATTAAAGTCATTTAAAGTTAGAAATTTTACTTTTTAAATTCTTTCTAACCAAAAAAATCAATTATAATATAATATTTTTTTGGGGCCTGAATTAGAATATAATATGAATAACAACATTATGAACTTTATTTGTTCAAAAATTCAAAATTTTGAAGCTTGATGGCTATAGTCTAGACTCAAGAGGTAAATTATATAAAAATATTTGTAAGTGTTATAAAATCTAGATTTATTCATTCTTTGACATATTACTATACGTACATCTTGTATTGTTTCTTTTAATATTAATCACAACCACCAAGAAAAACTTTTTAAGCTAATGTAAAACTTTAATAAATTTTTTTGGGTGCGAAATGTATAATGGCATCATAATAATATTGAGAAAAATTAAAGTAACAAGTGTTTGAAAGTGATGGCGACAAACTTTAATTTGCCATAAAAAGGGGGACCATGTAGAGGAATATAAGAAGTATGCAAGGTTTCTGAACTTTGTTCATTGTGAAGTACTAAGAATCTCTTAATAATTGTTGAACCTTTAGCTTTCTCTCTCCCCCTATTAGTCTAGAGCGAGAATGAACTTGGCTTCAGTGTTGCACACGAATGGAGGCGTTGGAGAAACAAATTATGCTCACAATTCTGTTACAGGTAACACACACCCACACACCCACCCGCACACCCCTTAGCTTCATCGAACCATTTCTAGATTCAAATTACGTGCATATTTCCAAGAAGCTATTGAAAATTCATGCATTATATATACTACTAGTACACTCACTTGCAGCAAAAGGTGATTTCTTCAACAAAGGTCATAAGGGAGGAAGCCATGACTTGCTTTTACAAAGAAAGACATCCGAAAAAACTAGCAATTGCAGACTTGGGTTGTTCTTGTGGACCAAACACTTTGTTTGTGGTTTTTGATCTGACTGAAACTGTGGATGTACTTTGCAAAGCTCTAAACCATGAATCCCCTGAATACATCATCTTCTTGAATGATCTTCCTGGCAATGACTTCAACAACATCTTCAAGTCTCTTGATTGCTTCAAAAAGAAGCTAACATCAAATCCATTGGTTGATGGGATTGATCATCAATATTGCTGCATCACTGGGGTTCCTGGTTCTTTCTATGGCAGGATTCTTCCTACTAGTTCTCTATATTTTGTTCATTCCTCCTACAGCCTTCATTATACATCTCAAGTAAGTTTGCTTAGTCACTATATTTTAAAGATAACTACATGATATTTTTGCTACTATTAAGATTATTGATTTTACTTTTGGCCACATAACATGCCCCTATATATGTGGAAGAGTTGGCGTGACACTGAAGAGAAAATAGTATAAAATCATTGAAGTGATTTGGATATGTATAAAGAGTTTGTTGGATAAGGAGTCCTTTAAAAACTAGTAGAGAAAAATGAAAGAGAATGTTCAATAAAGTTATTGATTAGAACCGTTTGGCTAACATTAATGATATCGTATGATTTATATAACCAACTCTACCTAGAATGGTAAGACTTGTTATGCCTCCCTAAAATTTCCTTCCCCCTTTACTTTTAATTAGTTTTATTTAAAGTTGCTTGTTTTGCATTTGCACATAATGTAAAATTATTTGCATTATTCACAACAAGTCTCTAGACTTTTTGTTATATTTTATACTTATATTGATATAATATTGATTATTAAAATTTTATTTGTCGAGAAAATATTCATATATTATTATAGCTAGGTATAAATTTTTCCTGTTCTAAACTAAATTTTCTGGTCTCATTCCTACGTACAGGTTCCTGACTAGGAGCAATATTTGCATGGCAAGCACAAGCTCTTTAAATGTCCAAAAAGCATACTTCCACCAATTTCAAAGGGATTTCTCAATCCTACGTACTGTTGGTTTGGTGGGGACTCGTGAGAATCTCATCCCAGTGTTGCTCAAAAGCAAAAAAGTTCAACGGTTGAGGAGGGCCCATGTCTACTTTCAAGGAATTTATAAAATTCCCATTTAATTAATATCCTTTTTTATAAAGCAATTTTAATTATTAATTAATACTATCTTGAATATTTAATATATGAACTAGTTTGATATTCAATTTGGTTGTAAATATAAGACTTCAATTTACTCTATCTCTCATATTTATCTATTTTTCTCAAAATAGTCCTATAGTAGTTGCATATATTAAAAGTTTCATTAAATAGTAGTTTTAGCTAATACATATAATTAGTAAAGATATTTTAAAAAAATAACACTTATTAATTATAAATAACCAATTTAACAAATTTCTTAATCTAATCAAATTAATTAATTAATTGTTAAGTTAAGAATCGCAGTATCTAAAATGCGTGAAAAAGTGAGGGAAGGGGGCCGCCTTATTAGTTATGCGAAGAGAAGCTTGGTTAACACAAACATGGACTCGAAAATTGGAGCGACGACTTCGGCTGTTTGCTTTCACACCATGTTTAGTTTAGCATCGGATGATTAATTAACTGAGTCGGTTATTGCAAATACATGCTAGATGGAATGTAAACTTGAGTTTTAATCCATATTGTTATGAGCAAGGAGGGACCTGCGAGCTCATTTGATTTCTACATGGTCTCCGTCGTATATACATTATTATGCATATTTTAATTTCTACACCGGTTGTTAATTTAATCAGTGTTGAAAATCATTTTACTCTAATTAATTACTCCCTAAAAAAGAACGAATCCACTTTGGGTGCTTATCAAGGTAAAGAACACCGTAAACTTATCAAATCTGGACCATCTAGATCTGACTTGGATGGTTTGGGTTTAAAATTTTTAATTAATTATTTTTAAATAAATTTTTTTTGAAAACATAATTAAAAATTATTTTTATTTGAGATTTTATTCCAATTAAAACAATTATTTCAAAAAAATAAAAAAATAAAATATGGACCATCGAAATCAGATATGAAAACAATTTATTCTGATTATTTATTAATTACTAAATGATTATATTAATTATTTTGTCCAATTATATAATTATTAATTTAAAAATGAAATTAATTTTAAAGAATAAAGTTAATAAATAATTTTTCAAAAAATACAAAACACCTAATTAAAAAATAAGTGAAATTATAAGGACCTGATAAAAAGAAAAAAATAAGATAAAAGGACCTAATTAAAAACACACGAAAGTAAAAGGATCTGATAAAAAGAAAAAATTTTATAAGGACCTAACTAAAAATCATATGAAACTATAAGGACCTGGAAATTAATTATCCCAAATATCATCGTACACACTTTTTACACCAGTTTCTTTCTACACGGTGCAAGATCTCAGCGTAAAAAGCCTTCTGTTTTTGAGTGTTGACAATTTTCTTTGAAATATATACAAAAAATAAAGATTTATGACAAAAGATTTTGTTTTGGTATGGGGTGTATAGGGAATAATAAAGGAAGATCAGCTAGATTCATTCAACATTCCTATTTACACTCCATCATATCCCCGTCTGAACTGGAATTAGAGATTTTAAAGAAAGGATCGTTCACTTTGAATCATTTGGAAGTATTTGAAGTAAGTTGGAAGGCAGCATGTGGTGAAGAACTCAATGATCAGAGTGGATACAAAGTTTCACAGCTTGTAAGAGCTGCCATTGAACCTATGCTTGTGAGCCACTTCGGAGAAGCTATCATTGACGATGTTTTTCATCGTTACCAATATATTTTAGCAGATCGTATGTTCAAGCTATCAATATTGTCGTATCTTTAACCAAAACAATTTGAAGCTATCATTGACGATGTTTTTCATCGTTACCAATATATTTTAGCAGATCGTATGTTCAAGCTATCAATATTGTCGTATCTTTAACCAAAACAATTTGAAGATCAGAAGGCAGCCTATATTTTTCTAATATAAATATTGGGGAATGGGTATCGAATAATGCATTATATATCTCTCTCAGTTAGTGTTTATTGTTTTTCTTTCTTTTGAGAGAATTGTGTGTGCTTGATTTTAATTAATCTAGTGTTTAATTTAAGTAATGTTGTAATAAGTTGTGACATGTCTAGAATGTTAAAGGAGTTTTCTGTGTTACTGTGTGTATCAATGTAAGATTTTAAATAAAGAAGCACAAGAAATTAAAGTAGAAATAAATATGGTTTTGTTTCTTAATTAAAGAAAATAAATGAAAAATCAATTACTATCTCCAGTCTTAAATATAAGAGTTAATTTGTAGTGTAAATTGCGCTATAAACTAATTCTTATATTTATGACTAGAAAGATGGGATTAGAATTCCCCCCCTTAATGTTAAGGGTCATAGCCAAATCAAATTGTTCAGTCAATGTTAATTTCAAGCCAATATATCAAATTGTTGAATCAATCTGATTTTAATTAGTCCACCAAATTAATGCACGCCTCATAGATATTGACATAATAACAAAATAAAGAACCTAAATCCTGTGCTAGCCTCTTTCTAATTGTAAGGTTCAAAAATTAATCTGGACGCGGCAAATATGCACTTCACGGCGGCCAAATCAGCAAAATGGGAACAAAATAAAACTGATAAATTTTCCTAACTTGCAAGGTTCAAGTTCCTAAAATAAGATCTATCTATGGAGGCTGTAAGCAAATAATGGAAGGGGATTGAGAGAGAACGTACGTAGAGGGTGCAGATTTGGGAGTTTACACTACTAGGGTTTTGATGCAGATCCAGGGCTTTAGATTACTTGAAGCTAAATCAGAGTGAGATAAGATATGCACCACACAGAGAAAAGAGAGAGAGAGAGCAAAAGATAGTTGGGAAAAAAAAAAAACAAACTCTAACTATCTTTTTATTTTGCATTAATTACATAGACCTTTCTTTTATTTTAATAATATATTTTAGTCCAAACTATTAACACTGTTAAAGAATATTTTAAAAGGATTCTATGAGTATATTTTTAATTAAAAACATATTACAGTAAATCTTGTTTATTACTTTACCCTCATTATATTAAATCTCTAGTTTATCCTTTAATATTAATATTTATTGATAATCTATTTAATATTTTTACTAAATTTACTAAATTAACACATAACTTTATAATTTAATTAAAAAAATATATAATTACAAAATATTTTCAGATAATATATATTTAAAAAATTACATTACAAGTAAGTTTTAATAAATAAATGATATTAAACATTTAAATTTATTATAAAATAAAAATTGATATTTATAAACTTAATTAAGTTTATAATATGGTAATCGATTTAATAGTGTAGCAAAAAATTCTAAAATATGTATTAAAGTTATTTTTTAATTTGAAATAAAGATATATCATATGTGACTAAATAATAATTATTAAGTAATATTTGCTTTAAGAAGGGGTATTTTGGTCAAAATAATATATCAATATTATGATTTAATGGTTAACTAATAGTTCGGTAGACAGAATTTGAATCTCAAAACAAAAAGGAAGGTTTGTATAATATATATTTTGACGTATTTTAGTCTTGAAAAAATCAACGGTTGGGTTGGGGTGAGACACATCTTATTTATAGTGTTAGATGGACGATATTAAAAAGATGGAAACTCTCATATTATAGAAAACTTTGCCCATTCTATAATTTAGGAAATTGACATACTCCAAAGTTTAGGAAATATTTATTGCTTACCCCTTAATTAACAATCCTGCAATTAATATGATGTGATAGTAAATTAAATTCTGATTTCATTTATATATAATTAGGTAGAAAAACCTAATTAAATAGCCTGGGCCATTAAGGGTGAATTGAAGTCCAACCCAACCAATAACACCAGTTCCGCCCAAAATTCATGCTGTTTAGGCCTCCGAGGAGTGATGAAACTATATGCAACTACCACACCCTCAGCCCAAACCATTAAAATCCAACCAAGCTTTGGTATCCTAAAGCAAGAAGGAAAAACAAGTATCCAAGGATCAAATATGACTCTCCAAAACCTCGAATCTCAATATTAATTATTACCAACAATTCAAATATGAAATGATACCATTTGCAACATATGAGAGCATGCTATATTCGCACATTGCAGAAATATATGCTCTATTCAAATATTTCATGAACATGTAACTTAGCAAATGATGTCCTTTTGACACATGTGGGGAATGATTGTGTTTATATGGGGGTGTGTCAAAAGAAAAAAGTACTCTCACATTGGAAAAATAGCCTCATTTAACATGGAGCTATGTGCGGGTGTGAGATAAAGTCCTACATCAATTAATTCTCAAGAAATTTGAGTGACTACTGCCTATAAATAGGTAGCGCCTGGAGTTAGCCAAAAATGCACCAAGCTCTTGAATTTTTGAGCTCTTCTTTCCCCCTTCATTTAATCTTCTGCTTATTACATCTTTTTTATATTTTTGATGTGTTGTTCCCTTGCTGCTAGTAGGAAGGGCTTGTTCAATTATAAGGAGTTGCTGCTGTTTTGATGTGTGCTAGAATAACTCTTAAAAATAATGTTCAGGGGCATGACTCAACCAATTTTATTATTCTATTTGTATATTATCTTTCGTTAGGTGATTCCGACACTATTGAAATGTGAAATGAAGCTTGTGCAACATATGAGAGCATATGCTATATTCAAATATTTCATCATGCACATCGCAGAAATATTTGCGCGCTCTCTTGTTTGATCTACCACTCCCGTTCTCTCTTCAAATAAAGCATAAGTTACATAAGAGCGAGTGTATAGGTCCGTACACATATGTATATATGGATTTAAAAAATCAAGAGGATATATAACCACTGTTATGAATCCCACACGTCAGGAAGGTTGTTTTGAAAGAGGACCCATATAAGGCTTTCGGCTCTTCAA